TACATTTATTATTGAATATATATATATATATACAATAATAAATGTAATTTTATTTTCGTAGAAACTAGCTACTGGATTTTGGTTATAAATAATAAAATATGTTCGAAAACAAAAAAATTTAAGTAATTTAAACAATGGCAAGTTAGCTGTCAATTAGAGTTGTTTAGAGACAACGAGATGTTCCACGTAAAAAAGTAAAAAAATATAACAAAAATGTTTTTTCTTTTGTCTGTTCGATGACACAAAATCGATGTTGTGTTTCGTTCCTATTAATATAACACCAAATATTAACGAAGGAAAACAAGAATAAAGAACTCGGTGAACAAATAACACTGAACTAGATTCTTTATATTTTATTTTCTATTTTTTCTCCTGTATATATATATATATTGTTATTGTAAAGAAAAATTAATCACTTGTAATAAATTACACGCACTAAATTTTTTACAACTATTGTTTCTTCTAACAACCGCAACTACACAATTTTGAAATATATCTAATAGAAAAATTTCATTTTTGTTTGTTTAAAACACGGGTAAAGTATTAATAAATCATTAACTGTTAAATCTTTTACAACATTTTAAACATGTCAAGTAATAGACAGCTAATCAATTAACTGTTAGAAGGATGGGCATTAATATGTCATGAAGTGAGGCCTTCCTCGATCAGGTATAATGCTTATGTATAAAGCACGAAATAATGTATTTCGTAAACTGTTTCGACCCGTCTAAACGAGCTTCACACTTCTCACGTTAAGTCGATAATTCGTTTTGTCAGTGCTTCGGATTTCTAACAATTCATACTCTTAAACCGCTTCTATACGACTTCACCCTCTCTCTCTCTCTCACTGAATTAATTCTTTACTTTTATCATTCTTCTAGGAAAATTACGAAAATTAACGTAAGTAGAAAGTTCAAAATTTTTAAATAAATTAAGCATCGATATAGGAACTTAAATGTTAAATTATTAAATTTATTTATTTAATGAATCGTTAAAAATAAATGCGATAAAACGTTACAATCAGTATCAGCGGTTCGCATCTTAATACGCGAGATACAAATCAAATTGTTTTGCATCTTTCTTTTATCTGATTGGTTCGTTTCACTAATCGCGCATTTAATCAATTACATTAAGGAAATTTCAAATTATCTAAGTTTGTGTTTGACTTTGTAAGCTCCGGATGCTCATATTTGAAGAGATGACGTCGTTTCTTCCCCTCCCCTCTCATTTATTGCACTTCTTAAACGACTCAACTTGTGAAACACGAACGAGAAAACCGTAAAATATTCTTTAAGGTATATAACTCTTTAAGATATCTCATTAGTGATGATTAAACTCATCACTAACCAAGATGGCGCGTGTGATATTAAAATATTTCTTCTCGGTAATAAAATTAACATGTCTTTCCTTCACTGCATCGATTATATATTATTAAAGCTATCAGTTCTGCTTCGTGTGCCAATCGTAAATTTATAGAAGTGAAAGTATATATAAAAAAAAAGTTCTAGATGCGGTTAAATTAATTTCATTTCTGATGAATATTGAAATGATTAAAATAGAAAAGTAAGAATTAATTTAAGAAAAAAAAATATATATATATATATACAGAGATTACTGCTATTGCTGGGAAGGAAATTGTTTCCTTATTATTAACTTTGAGTTATATTTTGACATGATTCCCGTTGTCAGTTCTTTAACAAACGAAACTGTGTGAACTGTATCGATTTCCAATAAAGGCTTAAACTTCTGTTGGGGTAGTTTTTGCGAAAAGCTTTGCACTCGGATCGACCATATGGAGAAAGTAATCACTGCAGATGAATTTCGTGTATTGTGAAATTATCCTTAAGTGAAGTATGAAGAAAGAAATCTTCCAGTCTAAATTGAATAAAAAGAAAACTTGATTGCGTTCATCTCAAAGAGTTAATTACATAAAACGATAGAAATTCCACAAAAATATTTGTTTTCGTTTATCTTTGTCTAGAAAATATTTTACGTTTTTTTTATTATTATTATTTTTTCTTTCTTTTCTATAAATATATTCTTACTTAATACTTTATAAAATGCTTTCAACGCTATATGTTCTTGATCTTTAATAGAAACACGTGTTAGTGACTAATCCAATTTATATTTAAATAGCCTTTTTACTGCAAAGTTCAGTTGTTTTGTTCGTCTTTTAAAGGCATCATTTTCAAGTTAACACCTCTATAATAGTGAGAAGGATCGTTAGAGACAGTCTTTTGCTGAAAAGTATTCTCTTTTCAACTAAAATCTCCGCGCTAACAGGGAAGCTTGCTCTCTTCTTTTTTTTTCCTGTAGTGAAGAGACAGACGACAAAGTTCTGAATGCCAGCTGAAATTTTAAAGAGAGAAAAAAACAAGAAAACGTGACATTAAAGTGAAAGACTTTAGAGGAAAGTACTTAGTCTTATTGAGGCTGCTTCTATAGTGGATATGTAACAATGACAACAAAGAACTGCGAAATATACGAAATATATTAAAAAGTACAACGTCGAAGCGTGTTGAAAGAACGTCATCATTGTCTCTTATTCTTTAATATAATCTTTCAGTTAGAAGGAGAAAAATTAACAAAATTATAACAAATATCGAATATAATTAGCATATTAAATATTTGACTACGTTTGGAGCGGAATCATGTTTTTATTAGTCTTGTTTGTTCAGGCTGATGATCGATCGTCAACGTACACTTCTCACAAACTTCTGCCTTGTGTGTGTGTGTGTGTGTGTGTGTGTGTGTGCGTGTGTGTGTGCGTGTGTGTGTGCAGCAAACAGATTCAGATTCTAGCCAATACTGTTCGCCAAATGAGACACAAAAGTCGAGATCACGTCAACCTACTGTCATCACCCCCGACGCAATTCTTTTTTTCAGAATGAAAGACGTGCTTGGCATCGAACGACACTTTTCGATTGTCGATAGATAATGACAGTGTCAAAGTACGCACTTATTCAACACGTGTAAAGATTCGATCATAATTTGCATTTCTCGATAAAAGTTGTTTGTATGAATAACGAGTGGCCATTTTTATTTTTTCAAAAAAAAAACATTATTTTTTTCCTCCCTTCAATCAGATTATAACAACTTCTTTTCTTTAAATAACTTTTAGCTTTCTTCCTTGGTATATGAATATCGGAATTTTTTAAAACATTCATTGATTCGTCCATTCGTTTTTCAACGCCTTAACTTATAACTTTTACATGAAATTCTAAATATCCTGGCATTAGTCTTTTTCCATTTCNCTGCAGGTCCCATCTCTTGTCATCGATGATGAATTGCCGAGTCTGTCATTCTCCACTTTATCACTCACTGGACACGGACTCTGCACCTCGACTCCACTCGGGAATGGTTCTCCAGTACGCAGGCGTAGCTGTCTTTGGCTACATCCACTCCCTCCCCAGGAGTGAGGCTATCGCATAGAGAGTAGTTAGGAGGTAATGTTATCTTGTCTGCAACATCCAGCATTTTTAGAATGGTTATTAAAGACAAACTCTGCAACATAATGATGATGGCCGAAAAACGAAAAACCCTTCTCTAAAGATAAAAAAGAATAATAATAATAAAAGGAAAAATAATTCCAAAAATGTATATCTTAAACGTTCGATGATACGTTCTATCGCACGACTTTAAAATATCCTTTTATTTTTCGGCATAAAAATCGTTTCATTTAAACTTTTCTACAGTTTCTGACGTAGAGAATGCCACCAGTATTCATTATATATGTACAACTTAAGTGTTAAATTCTTGTAATGCTTCATTAGAGACTTGCCAAACAATTACTGCGCGAATTATTAATGAATGGAATACATTAAAAATATAAAAGGTAATTTACAGGATTTTAGCAACGTTCATAAAATTCATACCATAATTAATTGATACGTGTAATTAATTTATATAAGTAATAAAACGTGATTTTTAATACGAATTTCTTAAAGAAATTTCATTTTAAAAGAAACTGCGCTTGTGATCCTTATGCATCCTTCTATCCCAATTTATTTTTTGAGCTTTCAACACGTAAGATCGAATTGAAAACGAATGGTAATCACGTCAAATGATGGATAAAATATTCGTAAATTGAACAAGAATTGTAAAAGAAATTTTCTGCTAGAGAAATTCTTGCTTTTCTGCATTAAATTGTCGATTTATAATGAAGCTGTACTGATGATGCGGTTATCCGCTCGCATTTCCTGATAGCCGCATTTCATCGTGTTCTCTATCAGATTTGACAGCTTTGGTTACAGTCATGTTTGATGCAAAGAGGGATTTTAAATAGACAAGTGATATATGACCATTATAATGGTTTAAATTATCTCTTTTGTCGAGAAATTTCGTCTTTACCAAATAAAAAGATGCGATCGAGATAGCGATGCCCTAAGTAAATGTTTTTCTCTTATTTCCTATGGTATATAATAATCGTATAGTTATAAATTATTGATCGTAAAATCGTGTTTGTGTGCTTTTTTTTACACAGAAAATAATTCATTTCGGTTTTTTATAACTGTTTAAAACTAATCGATTAGATATTAAACTTTTTATTTTATAATTTTTTATTGGTTGGTCATTTCAGATTATTTCTCGTTTTGCATTGTTTTATTCTGCATAGCTTTATCCGTCAGCATATAAGTAGAGGATATACGGGATGGTGTATTAAACGAAAAAAAAAAAAATATATATATATTTTTTAAGATTTAAAATTTTTAAAAATATTTAAATTAATTTATTTTAAATTATTAAAAACTGAATTTTTAATTAATACAGTGATTTAAGTATTGGTATACGATTTGTAATATTTAAAAATGATAAATAAAAAAAATCGATATTTATTTATATCTTTTGTGGATGTATATCACCTTACCTGATGCGGGAGTATAGATGTTGAGATAGAGACAATCTTCACTCTGATTGACTAGATAAGGTAGCAGACGTCGAAGATATTGGAGACGACCCCAAGGCATCCTGCGAAGAGCCTCTGTCTCATTGGTAATATCCGGAAGACGTTGAGGGCATACAGAACCGAAGTGGTCCGCATTTTTTACATTCTTCCAATGGGGAGGTGTAACCGGTGGCATGAACCGTAAAGAACCTACAGGTGCACTTGCATACGGAATACCCAAAAATACTTCAACCGGTTTAAGTGGACGATTGGGAAAAGTCACAATGGTGCCACGTAGTGCACCATACTTGGTGATCACCTCACGAGTACTCGGGCGCCTATCTGTGAGCACGTGTATTTTGAGAGAACAGATGACGCACAGCAGACACACAGTATTAGTTATTGATTTCATAACTACGGCTTACTTTAGTCATATGTGACTTATATGAAGATTAATAATGTTTCTAGTTATAGTCTACCATTTCTTCGTTGTCTTTATATTGTCCGCGGGTCACGGGGACCTGTTTCTCTTCTCGTCATGTGGCATCGAGTCACACCGTAGTCTAACTACTTAGCTGCAGGTCCCATCTCTTGTCATCGATGATGAATTGCCGAGTCTGTCATTCTCCACTTTATCGCNTAATGTAGAAGGCTGAAACTTTGAGAACGTACACAAGTCCGATGACTGCATTTTAAGCTAATAGTTTTAGGGGTGGTCCCAGTCCTACCTTCTTCCTCACTCCAAATAAGCATAACTAAATGTAGAATGCAATCGTATGTTTGTGTGTAAATGTATTGTAGTGATGTATATGGTGGGGTGTATGGTTATACCCCGCCATCCTCTACCCCTTTGTATAATTATTTTATGATGTTTATTAATTTACAAGTTTAATTATTGATACATAAATATAATTATTATAATGTTAGTTTTAATTACTAATATATAATATAAAAATAATTAATGTATGTATTGATATATATAATTATTTTTAATATTTAAAAAAATTGAAGTTGTCATTGGTGTATAAATTCAAAATTAAGAATTTTTTTTAATACTTAATAATAATTGTTTAATTTAATTCATTTATGTAATAAAAATAAAAATTAATTATCTTAAAATATTTTATAAATTTCAATAAAATTAATCAATTTATCGATTGTTTTTATTAAATTATGTCTAAAATAATTAATTTTAAAACCAATAAATCAATTTACTTAATGAAAATAATTGATGAGTTTATTAATAAATAAATATTTTTAATTTAAAAATATTTATTAAAAACGGAAATTTTATTTTTAAAAAATAAATTAAGAATTGCTTTAAATCCTCCGATGATATTGAATTTTTAATTAATTTTATGTATTAAATTTTATATATTTTTTTAAAAAATTCGACAGATCATATTGATGCTGCAAGAACTGATTATTTCCTCTTCTCTTTCAGGAATTGCCAGCGTAATTTTTTTTTTATAAATGAAGAAAATTTAATTAAAAAAATAAATAAATAGCATAAATTCACCTGAAAATCTAACATATTTTGGCATATTATAGTAAATAACATATGACATTTTTATCATTGATCACCATGTAAAACGAGTTACTTGATTTTCGGATCTCACAGCGTTATATGATATAGAAATTATTATCTGATGTCCATATTTCCATCAGATTTCATATAATTCATGTAGCCCTATCTAATATCTTTATACGGAATTTATTTCCTGTCACATCTTTAATATTATTAAGGTTTAAATTACATAAAATATATTTTTCTTTCGTCTTGTATCCTTGGTTAAATATATTGTAAACAAACTGTGTTAAACTGTTTGTTTACTTTTTAGTTTATTTAGCGTTGTGGCAAATTAATCTTTAAGTTATAAATCTGTATACACTCAGTTATAAAAACATATTAAATAATTTATGATGTAAATTATTATATGTAATAGTTACGTTAGCAGGTAAAGAAGAAGAATGAAGATAAATATAATATCATCTGTATGTTCTTGACTAAAAGTAGTATTAAAGAGAAACCAAAGTTTTGATATTTGATTCCTTCTTCGATCCAACAAATAACAAGATGTCTACATAAAAAAGTGTTGTTTTTTTTCTCTTCTCTTCTTTTAAAAATTTCAAATCTATTCAGAATACAATTTCAAAACATATTTTTACCAAGATATTTTTAAAACCTTTATACGGTAGAATACACAAAACATCTGATGTTTTATTTTATAAAATATAAAAGAAGTATATTCTAAAATTTACTTGAAGTGTATAAAATAACAACAACAACAACAAAAAAGAAAGAAAAAAAACTTACAAATTCTGAATTTTTTTTATCTTTACTGTATGATTTTTCTTCTTCTTCTTCTTCTTCTGTTTTTCTTAATTTAAAGATTTTTGAAAGTTTCTTCTGTGATTTTATACAAATAATATAAAGCTTCTGTAGATTTTCTACTGTTTGTTTTTATTAAAATAGAGATTAACTAGTAGAGAATTTAAAAAAAAAATTATATCTTATGTAAGAATCCTTACGTAACATATAAATCCTATTATTTAAACGTATACTTTTTATTTGTGTGGATAACTTGCTCATTGGACATGCAACTTTTGTATACAAAATAAAGATTATTCCAATTTAAAAACCATAAATATCAGTTTCAAGATAGAGAATTCAGAAAGAAAAATATAATTGCGCCACTCGATATACTATAAAAGTGCTTTTATAGTATTTTTATTGCTATAATAGATGTTATTTTAAGATGTACAATAGCAAATTCCTGTGTTCCAATTAACACTATAATCCTCTTATAATTGTTCCTATTATTAGGTGCTTATATGAACATTGTCTGATATAATAATCCATATCACTATTGTCTGTATACACATATAAGTTATATATTATATTATACTGTATATACACGCATACAAGAAAGTTTTACGCTATTGTTTAATATAAATTATGTTAATTTCGCTCTATATGTCTATAATAAACAGTAGATTATAAACTCAAATACACTAAACTATAGTTAAATTGTTTTATATTATTAATTACGTTATAAATAATTTAAATAAAGGTTATTGTTTATTTTAAAATATTAAATTTTTCGTTTAAATAGTTTAAAAACACTTTATATCGATTCTTAACTTCTCAAATGAAACTTTCACTTAATTAATTAATAAAAGAATAATCAAATTGTCGTGTTTATGGACGTAATATAATTATAATTATTATTATTATTTAATTAAATAAAAGTAATTTACTTACTTTAAACGCTATAAAATTGAATTTTTTTTAACTAAAACTTTAATTACATCTTATTAAATTAATTTTTAGTGCTTTCTTTTCTCAATTTTTCTAATATTTTCTGTTGCATTTAATTTATTAAAATACATATTATATAATAAATTTTTAGTATTTTCTAAGCGAAAATATTAAACAATTGCGTAAACAATCAATATCCAATTGAGTTTCTTGGTTACGCTTTATATTTTACTGTATAATTCTTATGTAGTAATTACTTTAATATTGTTAACTAACACTTGAAATCCAATAATCTGTTTAAACTTACTTCAGTGGTGGAGTAATCACATCCAAACATGTTATTCGATAGAAATGACGTATAAGTAAAAATGGCGACAGGAAACAACGTGCTAGAAAGATTAATGGACTAGTCGATTTAATCCCAGTAGTCCAATGCCAGTTGTAGAAACGTCTACAACTTAATCAAAGATTCGGTTTGTAATTTACGTTTTGAAGAATTGTCATTTAAATGCATATATTCATGTTTAATTCACTCAGAAAAAGGAAATCATCCTGTTTAATATATTATCTATTAACATTTAATTTCATTTAAAGTCAATTAAATTGTACTAAAATCGAATTAAATTTTTAAACTTTATTTTAAAAAATAATAATTTAATAACTTTACGTTATTTCTTAATAAATTAATAAAGTAATTAACATAATTTATATTTATAATAAATTAAGAGAATAAATTAATGTTTTATTCGTTTATTACATTATTAATTTTAATTATTTTTAATAAAGGAAGAAAATTTCAAAAAAAAAAAAATTATATTCCTCTACCGAAAATTATTAAAACTTAAATAAACAATCCATTTTTTAAAAATATTTATTATAATTTTAAAAAAATTATCATCACTTTTATTATATTTTTAATAAATATTTTATGATTATTTTTAACGTAGTTTAAACCAAGATTTAAGTATAAAAAAACGAATTAATTAATTTTTTATGGTCAAATTATTTACATTTTTCTTAAGTTTCGTTTATGTTTTCTCAATTAATCTCAAAAAAGAGATTAAATTTCATAAGAATTAAATTAAATTTAAAAAAAAACACAATCAAATTTATACTTTCATAATTCTATAACCTTGTGTTATATATTTATTCTGCTTTAAATCAAACACGGTTTGTCAAACATATTATAAATTCTTTTATATAAAATTTTTGTATGTTTTATATATATATATACATATATTTATTTATTT